ATGGAGTGGAAGCAGGCCACTTCGTATGCCTCTGACTTCACTCCTGGACAGTATCTCTTTTGCTTATAGCAGCCAGTGGACAGCGTAGAGTCCTTGCTGCAGGAGAACACTCTGCCAGCACTGCTCATCCCATCAGTCTTTCCAACATGTGGCTTCAGTCTGCTTTGTATTGTGATTTTGTACTCAATTACATGGAGCTCCCTGCTGTCCCGCGGCGAGCAGCCAGTAGACATCCTCCACTCCCTCTCACGCTCACCAGGGGTGCTTCACACCTTTCTTTCCTGCTCATCTTTGCCACCCTGTATATTTGTGTGCAGGAGGTGCTAGCTTCCTCGGTCCTATGTGTTTCCAGTCCTTGGTGTGTCTTTTGGGATAAAGGTTGGATGCGTGCCCTTGGGGACTGGTCATGCTGCCTACCTAGGGACTCTGCTGCTGGTGGCAGCAGTGGGATGTAGCCAAAAACTTCACTGAAAGGTTGGGGATTTTGTTGTTTCGCTTTGTTTTTAGCATAGTGAAATAATGACTTTTTTTTGTTGTGTGTTTTGTTTTTGTTTTGTTTTTTAAGGGTAGGACTTAACATCTGGTATTTATATATATTGGAAAAATGAATCCTTCCTGCCAGCACTGACTCTTTCAGCTTCACAGTGTCATCTTGAGTCTTTCAAAAGTAATACTAATGCAAGGCTTTGCTTTGGGTTACTTGCACACGTTAAGAATCAATAGACCTGAATTTATACGATAATTTTATTTTCCCCCCATTTTAGCTGTTATTTTGCTGGTAAAACCCAGAGCTGCCGCGAGGCGTTACACCAGCTGCTGTAGGAAACCGCAGCCCTCTCTCTGGCCGGGCTGGCACTCCCGTCCCTCCTCCTCCTCCTCCTCCTCCTCCGTCTCCTCCTCTCGCCCGCTGCTGACGCACTCGGCGGGGTGAGGGAGCGGCGGCAGCGGGCGAGTGTTCGCTTCGTCGCCCCGGTTGCAGTGCTCACCTCTCCTGCTTTTCCTTTCCAGGCGCTTCCTGCACAGGGCTGCTGAGCAGAGGGGAGAGAGGAGCGCTAGCGAAGTCCGGCACGGGGAAGTTGAAAGGCAACTTTTAATTTGAAGGAAGTTCGGCTCGCAAAGGAGACAGACGCTGGTGAGATCCTCGGGTCCGGGAGTTGCTCTGCCGAAGCGGCGGAGGGATCATAAAACGTTTTCAGCTTGAAGAGGCCTTGCTGCTGTCTCCCTCTCCTCTTGCCGTAAGCATCGCGTCTGGCTGGCAGCTGGGAAGAGGAAAAGTTGGCTGCTGTCATCTGCCACCTGATTTCCATGAGTGAGTAGCTCTCTGGCTCTGGATGATCCCGTTTTAGTTAAAAGGCGTGTTTGACTGCTGGTGAAGGGCCAGGGGCTGTGTTTTGGAAGCGAGCAGAAGGACTTGGATACAATAAGATCTAAAATATGGCTTTTGGGGATTTTTTTTTTTTAAAGGTGACACTCAAGTTTATAGTTAGTTTGTTGGTTGGTTTTGTGTTGTGTTTTGTTTTGT